TTCTTGGGGTTGAAGTTGCATGGTATGACTCTGGGATTCACCTAATTCAATCTAGATACATCACTGAATTGCTTAAAAGATTTGAACTTGAAAACGTTAAACCTTGTCTTACACCTATCCTTGCTGGTAGAACCATATCCAAAATTGATGGTGAAATGCTAGCAGAACCATCAGTTTATATATGTGCAGTTGAGGCTTTGCAATACCTTTCACATACAAGATCGGGTATTACCTTCACCGTCAACAAGCTGAGCTAATTCCTGCAATTTCCAACTTCTATTCACTGGCAGGCTCTGAAGAGAGTGCTAAGATATCTTAAAGGCACCATAAATCATGGCTTATGGATCCAAAGAAGTGACAGATTGACCCTAAATGGCTACTCAGATGCTGACTGGGCTTCTTGCCCTGATGATAGAAGATCTACAATAGGATATTGCATCTATTTAGGTGACAATCTTATATCCTGGTCCTCCAAGAAGCAGCATGTGGTCGTTCACTCAAGTATTGAATCCGAACACAGAGCTTTTGCCTCAATTGCTTCAGAAATTTCATGGATTCAATCATTGTTTCAAGAACTTGAGCTTCCATTGGCTGAAGTTTCAACCTTGTGGTATGATAACATGAGTGCATGAGCTCCTGCTGCCAATCCAGTTTATCATGCCAGAACAAAGCACATATAATTGGACATTCACTTCATCAGAGATGATGAGACGAGGTTCTGGCAAGAAAACTTGAAGTGAAATATATACCCACTTCAGATCAAATTGCAGACTTGCTAACAAAGGGACTGAATCACTCCAGGTTTCTCTTCTTAAGGGACAAGCTTGGCATCACTTGTGCACCGCCTAGCTAGAAGGGATGTGTTAAGAATTGATATCATTAATTCATCACTCTCCATTTCATCACTCCAACTCACCAATGTTTTACCAGCATTCCAGCCTTGCTGTCATCACAGATGTATTGCTGATTAAAGGACCACCAGATTGTTATAGAAATATTCAAACATGTTACTTGAATTTAGGAACCACCTAACAGCTATACTTTCTAGATCCTTNTATTATATATTTCCAATCATCTCAATTAATCAGACATCAGTTCAGCAAATTATCTTCTTCCTTTTATCCACATTTCAACTTCCTTAGTTGGAATTCTGACTAAGATAGATGGAACTGAAAATTTTGGAGTTGAGGTGGGGAGTTCAGAGTTTTAATACACATCTTATATAGAATTCAATCATGCATACTACTCTTCGATTTTGGTTTCAAACACTCTTGTTCGGAACAAGTTCCAAGGACTGGGTTTCAGTTTGTGAGGTACTCAATAATGTACGCAGATTGTCAATATTCGACAAGGAAGTAATGCTCGGTGTCTTGTAAGTTCCGATTTTTGTTTGGTCCTTTGGTTTATACTCTATTTGAAGACTATTGTTAATTTTCTCTCAATTATAATGATCAGGGGTGATGTGATCTCCTTCATAGTGAAATCCTTGAAAAATCCAAGAAGTGCTGTTTGTAAAACTGCAATCATGACTTGTCCTGACATTTTCAAAGCATATACGGATGACATCATTGATTTGCTGGATCCTCTGGCATTTTGTTTTCCTTCAAATTCAGCTTGTGGTTTTATTCAAAGCATTCTTTTGCATGTCTTTGTTCCTATCTAAAATTAACTTATTATATATTTTCTTACATGCGATGTTTTATACCATGTTTAGCTTGTACAACTTCTTCTCAAATCTTCACAAGACAAAAGATTTGTATGTGAGGCTTCTGAGAGAGCTTTGATAGTTCTGACTTCTTCAGTTTCTCCTTTTCTATTGCTGCCCCAACTGTAACCATATATTAAGAACATAAATCCTCTAATTCGCGCAAAGGCTTCTATGTGCTTCCGTCGAAGTGAGGATGGAAAGGACTTTATGTTATGTATTTTCAAATTTGTAGTGCTTTTAACATCTAATTCTATGCATGTTGTACAGTAATCCAACATTTGTCATAGTTTCCATGCGATGATTAATCTCATGGGACTTTTATTTTTGGGGAAAATTGTACCATTCGTTTCCCCATCTATCTTCCTGGAAGCAAGTTGGTCCTCATTCTTTCATTATAGTAACACAAAAAGTCCTCAATCACTGAACTCACCGAATCTTTGTGAAATTGTCACGCTGTCCTCATGGAAATGTATTCACTTTCAAAATACGAGGCACAAGCTCAAATTGGGAAGCAAAACCTAGCATCATAGTGGTGGACATGCAAAGACCACGTGTAATATTTTATTTTCCATTTGCACGGTTTGAGTCTTTAGAGATTGTTTGTGCAACAATAATGAAAGAATGGGAACTAACTTGCTACTGGGACAATATGTGGAGGACCAATAATACAATTTTCTTATCTTTTTCAAATCTCATTGTTCATTAACGGCTTGAATTAGTCTTTTGTTAGAATGCATAATGTATTTAACTTAGCAGTGTTTAGCTTATCTCCATAATGCAGTTAGCATATCAGCTGAATTCGTATATACCTCATAAGGGAATTCACCTATCAGCCAGCTCATGTAATTGCACATGGTTAGGTGCATAAAGATTCTTTCTGTTTTGTAGTTTGTTAGGATGGTTCTTTACTCTTTTACCCCTTCATACCTTCTATATATGTCACATGCTACGCAGAGAATTGAAGAAATAGAAGCATTTGGGATTGACAAACTGATTAAAACAACAGCATTTGGGATGCAGCTCGTACTCTGTTGTTGGAATTGCAATCCGTATATTCCTTGATAATATATTAACATAAAATTGTTCTATATTTGTTGAATAATCAAATTTTATGGAATAAAATGTCATAAAATAAATTTTTAAAATTTAAATCAAAAGTGTCTTCAAATTCTTTGTTTTGCAAAATAATTTTTTAAAATGACAAACCAAACGCATCTTTAACAATTTTAAAATAGACCATCAAAACTAGGGGTGGCAAAAGGGCAAAGTGACTCATTGGCTCGGCACGTCGAATTTCGACCCATGGACGATTGGGCTCATTTTTGGACGAGCTTGAAGCTAGTAGAAGGAGCCCACGAGCCTAAAGTTCACGAGTCCACGTCAAAAATGTGAACAAAATATCAAAAAAAATAAAAAAATTCGAGCTCATGGTCTCGGCTCATGCTTGGAGCTTTAAGCTGCCGAGCCGAGCTCATGGGTACATAGGCCGAGTCGGCATGGTTCGGGTCATTACCACCGCTACTCAAAACAGAAAACAAAAAATGAATTAAAAAATCAAAATTGCAAAACTGAAGCTCAAATCAAATAGGTCCTTACCCTTTTAATATTATTTGAAAAGACAAACATATGTTACATTCTTCACCCTCATTGATTGTGATAAAAAAGACTACCATCATAGTTTTCACAACTGTTAATGAAAGACAGTCTCATATAATTGGTCACACATCATACACCATAAGGCACACATTTTAGGGGGAATAATAACGTTATAGAAATCACAATTGTTGAATTTCATTTCTACGTCATACATTTTTAGGGGAAAATAACGTCACGGAGATCACAACTCCTAAATTTTGTTTTTACATCATACATATTGTTATACCTCAACTCAAGATGTCATAATTGCTGTATATCGCAATTTAAGTCACAACATCGCATGTGACATAACAATATCATATAAATACAGTCACAGATAACCACATATTTTGCATGTCACACTAGAACCAAGATTTCAAATGCCTTGATTACATGCAAATTGTTGATTATCATAGGAGATAATGATTTTCTATTATGACACGTAAAATAATGGTTATGAAAAAAATGTATGGAAGAATTTATGAATCCAAGGAAGCACTATTATTCTTTCCTTATTTCAAAGGCATTAAGCGTGTGTTTGAATCTCATTAAAATGAGAATAGAGTTTTTTAAATAGTGATTGATGGGAGAATGTGTGATAGAAAAATGATGAAAAGTTTTCGATTTGTGTGTAATATTATTTTATTTGGAGAATGTGTGGTTGAAATGAAGAAAGTGAAGAAAAATGAGAATAAGAATGAGATTACAATGAGTGTCAAACAGGGGGTAAAATGGTTGACATGACTATTTTTTAGGGGAAAAAATAATGAGAGATAGAAATCAATAATCTTTAACAACCAATTAAAGTCATATTATTATCTTAAACGTAAAATCAATTATTATCTATTTTCATATAAAAAAATCTATTTTCATGTAAAATATTCTCAAATATTTATATTTTTGAAAATGTAATCTTAAAATATGTTAGCTTCGATTTTTTCCCCATATGTTTTTTCAAGGCATGTCTAAGTCTAACTAGTACAGAAGTGACAATGAGCGAAATAGAAATGTCAGTTCGATTAAGTGAGCAGACTTGGATAAAGACAAGTAGCAGATATTTTATTCTTTCTCACTATTTTTCAAAACATAAAAAGGAATTTTATCAACCCATTTAACGCGGAGGCGCCGGGATAAAATTGGAATATTTATCAGCCTATTGGAATATTTAGTTTTGAGTAGAAGGCAACGGGATAAAATTTTAATAATCTTGGAGTACTAAAATTCGGTACTCATGTAGACAATGTTTGTAATGATGTATTGAATCATTTTCAATAATGTCATATTGCTTGAAAAATTTATAACTTAATTTTTTACTCCACATTAAAGAATGTTTTGTTTTGCCACTGATCATTGGCATGCGTGTGATGTATGGTGGACGGATCAAATGTGCATGTTTTCTTCCATTGTCATTTAAGCTCCTGTTTGTTTTCCATTGTTTTAACCTAAAAACGGATTTTTTTTTTTT